GGACCCGTGTAATTACACTGGACCCACTCGGACCATCCAGCATAATCTCCCCATCTCAAGAGCCTAAACTTATTCACATCAGCAAAATCTCTTCTGCCATGTGAAGGTAACACATTCATAGGTTCTGGGAATTAGGACAAGGATATCTTTGGGGATTATTATCCTGCCTGCCAACCCCTCCTAGGTGACGTTTAGCTATTTTGCATCTTCCCATTGGGGAAATTCTTATTTTAACTACAAGGGGACTATTACTCTATCATAATACCAAGTGAAATGAAAGATTTAATAAACGATTCTTACCAGTTTCCAATGAAACGAGGGTCATCCTGATTAAGATGAATGGGACTTCTGGGATCAACGTAAAAACCAATAAGAAGTCCACCTAATAAATATCCCACTGCAGGACCAAGTGCTCCCATGACATACATGATGGCTGAGAAGACAGAAGGGGAAATGTGAAATATAACGTCGTGTCATTTGTTTCAGTAGTTGTCTAATTTCAGTCATACCATGCATATGTCACAGTTAAATCCAGTTAACAACTTCCAAAAACAGAGAACTTTAGAGATCCTGTCTATGTTGACATTTGGGTTTCAAACCATGTCCTTTATTTAACTGTTCCCTGTTGTCCTCTTAGAACATCAGAACTTCTTTGGTTACTTCTGAAAGTACAGACCTGGGCTAGTTATTAAGGCAGTCACTGGATAACCAAGAGAGGCTAACAGGTAGTCTCAAGATAAGAAAAGAGAAAGAAGTAGATGTCCCTCATCCCAGCTAGAAGATTCTAACGGGCTGAGGGAACTCGAGGCCAGTTTTGCCATGAAGCTGGACTCAGCACCCTCAAAGCACTAATATTTTCAAATCACCACTTGAGAATCAAAGAAGACCTCACAATGTGTTTGGTTTATTGTTAAACGAGGAATATTACTTAAAGATTAATAAATCTCCTTAAATGGCATGAGTGAGACAGTCCAAATGGAAAGCACTAACGCACAGCTGAATTTGAAAAAATTTTAAAGTACATGTCCAAAGGGAGAGGGGTGTTTACTGTCAGTAGATCAGAAAGGTTGTCATTCTGTCCAATAAAATGTGGCCATCAAAATGGGCTTATAGGAAAAATGACAACAACAGATGCACTGTCATTTCTTTACATTGCTTTCACTGTTGTGATTGAAATTTTTTAAATAAATAACACATTGCCAATTTGTAAATTTTGAGGTAGAATAGGAAATTCCTTGAAAGTCATAGAAAAATCTAGCTGCACTCCAAACACATGTTTCCCCCTGTTGAAACTCAGTTATTTGGGGACAAATCAATAAACACTTTTAAGATACCCCTGTGTGCAAGGCATGATAAACTCAGGTGATACATGCTTCTCATTTCTATTGCTTTCGTGCATTTTAACCAAAGAATAAATAAGTGATTTGTCATATCCTTTAAATAGTACTTATTTACCAGAAAGCAAATTTGGACTAGTCAGAATCCCTTCGCCTGACTTTATCAGCTGCACCTAAATAAACACTGAATAACCTTATACTTCCCGTAACTTATAACTACAGACAGTAATTTAACACCTGCTCGCACTTTCCTCACCGTTTCAAAAGAGAAAAGCACAGTGTTTATTTATCTTACAGAATCATATGATTGTAACAAGACATTACATGATTACAATAAGACATCAGGTTCTTTGACTTCTCCATCTGTGTTTGCAAATGAAGAACCGAGGCATAGCAGCAAGTAATTGGCATTCTTTTGGACGCATGCTTTTAATAAAATAAAATTTGAATTTTGATAAATAATCTTGTTAACCTCTCTGTTTATAGCCTAAAACAGAACTCAAGAATAGAAAGTATTTTTTCAGTTTCAGGTATTCCCATAAGCACATGAAGATAAAAATATATGTTTACACCTCCAGGCAAACCAGCACCATTTACAACTCAAAACTGTAATGAGGCCAAAATGTGACACAAATCATCTCCCCAAAATTGTTCTTCTGGCGTGAAAGAGACTGTCTTACAAACACAGACGGAGGAAAAGGTATTTCCACCATACTCTTTATGCCTGTGGCACTTGCGTGCAGCAGCTTGAAGTGCCAAGAAGCCACGTGCAGGATGTGTGCTGGTAGGACCACTCAATCAGCCGGTGAATGGAAAACCAATGATATAACGTGCACCAAGAAACCTTAACTGCTTTATGAACTATAGATCAAGCTTTTTAAAATTCACCTATAGGATCAGAAAAATTCATTTTTATTATATAGCAAACAATGTTAGGTCCAATGGAATCACTCTCAACAGAAAATACATATATGTACATCTACATATGTACATCTATATAACTATACTACAGGTTATACTATATAATATAGTACAATAACTATGCTGAATACATAAATATGTTTATATATTTATAAATATATATCATACATATATGTATATATAACTTACTACTATAGTCCCATTTAGTAAATAAATCACTCTAGCCACTGAGTTAACATTTGTTAATCCATTAACTAATGGCACTTATTCAGAGCTTTTTAGAGGAGCAAATTGTTAAAGCAAACCACTAACTCCCTCAGTCAAAAATTCCCAATCAGGACTTGAGGACATGGGGAGGGGGAAGGGTAAGCTGGGACGAAGTGAGAGAGTGACACCGACATACATACACTACCAAATGTAAAACGGATGGCTAGTGGGAAGCAGCCGCATAGCACAGGGAGATCAGCTCAGTGCTTTGTGACCGCCTAGAGGGGTGGGATAGGGAGGGTGGGAGGGAGGGAGACGCAAGAGGGAGGAGATATGGGGACATATGCATATGTGTAGCTGATTCACTTTGTGATACAGCAGAAACTAACACACCATTGTAAAGCAATTATATTATACTCCAGGAAAGACGTTAAAAAAAAAAAAAAAAATCATCAATCTGGGCTTTCCTGGTGGCGCAGTGGTTGAGAGTCCGCCTGCCGATGCGGGGGACGCCGGTTCGTGCCCCGGTCCAGGAAGATCCCACATGCCGCGGAGCGGCTGGGTCCGTGAGCCATGGCCGCTGAGACTGCGCGTCCGGAGCCTGACTCTACCTGGAGTTCAAGGGCGGGACGAGTTGGACTGCTACCATTTCAATCCTAAAACCTACTGCCTGTGCTCGGGCTCCACACAGACTGATTCAGAACAGGCCTGGGCAGAGCCAGCTCCCTTCCTCTGTGGCTCCCAGGGTGCGCCTCAGGCCTTTCTAACCCCCTGAATCCCACCCATTCTTCAAGGCCCAACCACGTCCAGCACTGACCATCCTCCCCTGACTGATCTCTCTCCTCAAAATCCCTGTAGACAATATATGGTCTCTCCCAGTGGCCTCCACCATTTTTCTCACACATCCCTACCAGTAAGAGGTTTGAATCATGTACCCCCAGTGTACTTTTCAGTAAAATACTGTGTATGTACCATTAGCCTCTGTCTCACAGCTCGAATCCATATTGGTAAATCCTGTTGGTTCTACCACCAAATCAGGTCCAATATGCCGCTCCGTACCTCCACCCTGGTCCAAGCCACCATCATCGCTCACCTGGAAAATTGCTCGAGGCCTTCCAGCTGGTCTCTGTGCTCCTGTCCTTACTTCCCTCCAAAGTATTTTCAATACAGCAACCTTACTGATCCTCTAGAAACACGAGCCAGATCACATCGCTTCTTTGCTCACGCCCACCAGTGTCTTCCCATTCCACTCTCAGGAAAAAAGCCCAAGTCCTTTCACGTGGCTGCAAGGACCTGGCCACACCCTCGCCCCACCCCTTGGTCTCCATCCCCCAGCTATTCACTGGGCTCCAGGCGCACTGACCTCACCTTCTTTAACCTTCCAGAACACGTTCCCACATTAGGGTGTTAGTACTTGCTCTGTGCGTGGTGGGCAGGGGTGCCTTGCCCAGAGACAGCCACATGGTTCATTCTCTTCGTTCCTCCAGGTAATTACTCTGTCCCTCCTCACCGAGACCTCACTCAGCCATGTCATCTAAAAAGTTACAACACTTTCCCCCATTCTTCCCGTCGTTTCTCTGATCCATGTTTTCTCCTCAGCATGTATCACCACCTAACACACTTTATCTTTCCTTGGTTCATCTTGTTGATCCCCTGTTCTCCCCGACCAGACCGTAAGCTCCACGAGATCGGGGACGCCTGACGCAGGGGTTCACTGCTGTGTCCCCCGTACCCAGCAGTATAGGAGGCATCACCCATACTCACTCCCATTATTCATTGCTTCCATCACCACCACGGAGTCTGCACCATCTACGGCCATTAACAACAGATGTCAGTGACAAACTCTTCCTCAGTGTCTATCATCTCTTGAGACACTAGCTAATGACATAGATGTCAATCCATATTTCACATAGCGAACTTGGTAATTTCATGGTTTTTGACTGTGTCTCATCAGATGTGATTATACTATCATTGGTTTTTTTTCTCATGATGAGGAAAGGAGCTTGTACTGAGAAGACAGGCTATTCGATGAGCTAACAATAGAAACATAAATACAAGTTCCAGTCTTTTCTTCCTGCCCTCTCCATGGGTGGTCTCACACACCACCCCTTTGAGAGAATGCTGGACCATTTCATTCTTTTTTTTTTTTTTTAACATCTCTATTGGAGTATAATTGCTTTACAATGGTGTGTTAGTTTCTGCTTTATAACAAAGTGAATCAGCTATACCTATGCATATATCCCCATATCCTCTTTTGAGATTAAATATGCCCTGCTCTTTACTTATACTTATCTCTTCAAATATTTATATTTTGTCTTTTGAAGTTGCTCTTCAACCTGGACAGCGGGAACCATATCATATAGAATATTAGGTAGTAGTTAAAACGCAGACTCCAACCTCCTGGGTTCAAATCCCTGCTTCAATTCTTCCTCATTATGTGACGTTAGCAAGTTGCTCAACCTCTCTGAGCCTCAGTTGCCTCATCTCTAAAACTGAGATGGTAAAAGTATTTCCCCATAGGGTTGTTACAGGCATTAAATGGGTTCATTCTTGTAAAGCGTGTGGACTGTCTGGCACATGGTGAGGGCTACAGAAGACTATGCTGGTTTTGTTGTTATTATTATTTCATACGAGCTGATGCACACAGTTTAGTGTTTGGGCATGGGAGGCATTCAGTAAATATTTATAGGTTGGTTACATATCTGTGTTAACCATGTCTTTCATTTTCTTTATTCTTATGCTTTGACATCTGAGGCTTTGCAAAGCCTGGAGGGACAGCCCCTCCCAAGGTTTAGCCACAACCCCTAGAGACGGTGAGCAACTCAAAGGGAGAGTTCACTTTTCAAATGCAAACCAACCAAGATGGAGCCCACACCTCTTTTGTTGAGCTCCACACTCCTGGCCACCATCCACCTGCCCTATTCATCCCAGAGCCGGGTACCAGACAACTAGGGACAGACAGCACCTA